CCCAGGTCTTGAGCCTAAACTGCTACGGACGCCTCTACCAGGAGTCTCCTCTTCCAGGATCTCCTTCTCCATCTCCACTGCCCAGCCCCACAATTCTCCTCTAAATGGCTCCCCTGCCCTGGGTAGACATGGCAATCCTCACTCCCTGCAGCAGGCTCTGGGCCGCAGGGACCAGGATTTCTCCAGACCCTCCCTCCATCAGATACATCTTCTTCCCATTTCCCAACTCTCATCTCTAAGCTGTGCAGCCTGGTGGTTAGGCCTAAAGCTCTACAATTCCAATCCCAGCCATCCCACAGGTGAGCACCTCAAGTAAGCTTTGTCCCTCTTTACCTGTTTACCCCTGACGCAGGCAGGGACAAGAAACATGGAGGGCCAAGTGGTGGTGACACACGCCTTTTAATCCCAGCACTTGAGAGGCAGAGGCAAGTGGATCTCTGTGAGTCTGAGGTCAGCCTGGTCTACAGAGTTCATTCCAGGACAGCCAGGGCTACACAAAGAGTCCCTGTCTTGAAAAACAAAAACAGCAAAAGCAAAGAAAACAGAAAGCAGGAAAAAAAAAGAAACAGAGAGGGTTCCCAGGGACGTGGGTGCTTGGTTGATGCCTAGAAGCATCTGGGGAGCCCGGCGTGCATGAGCCCTGCCTGAGTTTCTTCCCCTGTTACTGTGGTAAGATAGATACTCTGACAGAAGCAGAGTACCTGAAGGGAGAGGGGGAGAGCAAATAACACTGGGTCACAGTGCAAGGCACAGGGGCTCAGCTGCTTGCATTTTTCTCTAATTCTCACTGTGTGTGTTTCCTGTAGCCGCTATAACAAATCTGCACACATTCAATGGCTCTGTATGGCAGAAACACCTTCCCTGATGGTTCTAGGGGTCAGAAATCCAAAATCAGTGGACGAGTCCCAGGCACTGGTGTGGTACATGCAGGCCGTCCCCATGGGGGTCTTCTGAGCTGGTTCTCCTCCCCTTCCAGCTCCTCGAGGCTGCCCATCCATCCTTGGCTCCTCCTCACCCCCCTGAAGCCAGCAATGGCCTGCTGAGACTTTTGGACACTCTTCCTTCCTCTTTCTCATATTGGTTACTTCACTGTCGCTGCAATAAAATTCCCTGACGAAAGCAACCTAAGGAAGCAAGGGTTTGCCTTGGCGGATAGTTCCAGCAGGAGAGGGTTCATCACAGCCAGGATGGCGGTGGCAGGGGCATGAGGCTGGCCCAGCAGGAAAGAGCAGTCACATGCCATCCACACTCAGGAAGCAGGGAGAGAGAGAAAGAGAGAGAGAGAGAGAGAGAGAGAGAGAGAGAGAGAGAGAGAGAGAGAGAGAAGAGAGAAGAGAGAGAGGTGGAGTCAGGCTATAAGCCTCAAAGTCCTCCCCCAACAATACACTCCCTCCAGCAGGCTCACCATCCTAAAGGTTCCACAATCACTGCAAACAGTGCCACCAATGGGACCAAGAGTTCAAATGCATGAGTCTTTGGAGGACATTTCTCTTTCAGACTACAGCACTCGTCAGCATCCTGTGAGACTGGACTTTATTGTCCTTACTCAACTCTGGGGTCCTTGGAAGTGAGAACCACTCCCTGATGTCACATGAGCAGCAGAGAAAAGAACCAGCCTCAGCTCAGGCATACTCATTCCTCGGGTGCATTCACCTCCGTATTTGTTGAGCTAATCCTGAAGGTAGAATTCACCCCACGCTTCAGTTCATGGATGCTTTCACCCACAGAGAAGACAATGGTTGAGGGGACCAGTGAAGCCAGTTGGGACTCCCAGAGATGAGTAATGAGGACCTGAGTTCAGATCCCCAGCATCCATGTAAACGCTAGGTACAGTGGTGAGAATCTGTGACCCCAACACTGGGAGGCAGAGACAGGAGGCTCCCTGGAGCTACTGGGCAGCCATCTTGGCCAATTAGTGAGCCCCAGGTTCAGCGAGAGATGCTATCTCAAAACACAAGGTGGAGAGGGGTACAGGAAGATACTCAGCGTCATCCCCTGGCCTCCACGTGCATGTATACACATATGCACACATAGACACACACACAGACACACACACAGATACACATACACACACCATACACACAAACTAGACACAGTACAATATTCTAACTTACACAATTCAAACATATGCTAATTTGACACATATGCTGAGAAATGATAAAAGGGAAATATTAAATGATTGTTTTTGAGATGAAACCATTATGTTTCTGTGAGAGCACAAACAATCTGTTTAGCGAAAACAATGCAATTCGGAGCATATCTGAACCGAGATGTTTCAGGTGGTGTTTGCGGCATGGCCTATCAGCCTGCACAGTGCAAAGGGCATGTTGAGCGCCAAGGCTGCAGTGACATCATCTGAAGCTGAAAGGACCAAGCAGACGCCATAACAGGATGCTCAGTCTTCTCTCAGGATCAGCCCTCAATTTCAGTTTCCCGAGACTTGAGCAAGCAGTTTCTGGGAGGGCCATAAACAAAAAACATAGTCCTTGGAGTAGCTCCCTTTCTGCACATACTCTGACTGCTCAAGGTTCAGCCAGTTGTTTACTGTCTGGGACCGACCCCTCACCAACTTAGAGCTACGTGCATGGGTCAATGTGAACGTGTGAGGCCAGCCAGCCTCCATGGCAGCTCAAGGACAAAGCCTGGGACTTGTCCAGGCCTGCCCAAAAATGATAACTATAACCCCCAACCGGTAAATTCAAAGGTTACATACCCTCATCCAATCATACAACACCAAGGCTTGTATCACCCTGCTTGCGGTTTTTCCCTTTAAGAACCTCTCATTCTGGGAGCTCAAGGCCATCCTCCTCCACCCACTGCGTTGAGTCCCTTGCTTGTTATCAATAAACCCCTGTGTGTTTTGCATCGTGTATCAGCTCTGTGATGGTCTTGCTCGGGGTCTCACGATGTGAGCACCACAAAGCAACATGAGTGATCACCACCAGAAATACCTCAAATTCTTCACAGGTTTGAGTCTGGTATTACACATACAGAAACTTTTTACTGTAGCCAAAGTTTTGCGGTCCCACGTGTGTGGTCATGACACACAATTAAGAAGCTATGGTTGGGCTGAAGAGATGTCACAGCAGCTGACAGTTCTGACTGCTCTTCCTGAGGACCCAGGTTCCATTCCTAGAGCCCACACCGTGGCCCACATCTCATTGGCCAACACTTGTCGTGCAAAGGAGGCTGGGAAATGTAGTCCAGCTGTGAGTCCTGAAGGGGCAGTGGCCACGCAAGTTGGTAAATGGCTACCCACATCTGCCAGGGAGAGTCTGACCTATTGTGGGATCTAGAGGACTCGAGCCTTTGGACAAGATGGAAAGGGATCAGTTCTTGCTCAGAGAACAACCTGTTTTCAGGTTGCATTTGCTGAAGGGCAAGAGACAGACCAGATCAGTGTCACAGGTCTGGCCTCACGCTGCTCAGGAAACCCCAAACCATGGGGCACAGAGAGGGACCCCAGAGGTGCCTCAGAGAACTGCTTTCCTACTAGCTTGTGAATCCACCAATCCTAACGACCTGGGAGACAGGGACTTCATTCACTTAGATCTCATTTCCCTCACAACTCATGCCTCCCCGATCACCACATTCCATTTTATGGAGAGCAAAGCGATTAAATATCTGCCCGAGCTCACCACCCAGGACCCCAAATTTGATTCTCAATCTACCAACCTTGGCCCCTCTGTATCTATGTCTGTAAAAGCCGGCTTTACTCCCTTAGAATGGACTCAGAAGTTCCAATTCAAGCCACCCTGAGGCTAGAGGTCTGCAAGCGGGCGATTGTTGTCTTGGAAGGCTTCCCGGTGCGGAGACAACAGCACTCTCCAAGGCTTGGGACACCAGCCTTGGGCTGTAAGGCCACCCGCTGGAGACGAGAGGTGCATCGTGCACTCCAGCCGACAGGGGGCGCCCAAACCGGGACAAGCTCGTGCTCTATCCGTCGGCTCGCTGCGCTGGCGCGCTCCCGCCGACAGGGGGCGCCGCGGTCCACGGACCCGGAAGTGGGCCGCTCCGCCCGGGACCCGCCGCCGGGGCAGTGTCCCGCCCGCCAAGCCATGGGGCCGCTGCGCTGGCTGCCGCTGCTCGGCCAGCTGCTGCTGCTGCGGCCACCCGCGGCCCAGCCGGCCGGCCCCATCCAGGCCTTCGTGGTGCCCCACAGCCATATGGACGTGGGCTGGATCTACACGGTCCAGGTAAGTGGCGGGCGTTCCTGATCCCCTTGCACAGTAGCTGCCCCCTGCGGGGTGCGCCCAGCCCAGCCGGGAAGCGGGAGGTAGCCTGGGTTCCAGCCTCCACCCTGGGACCCTGCTGTCTGAGCCGCAGCCCTGGGCTGGTCACTTCCTGCCTTGGAGTCGTGGTATCACATCTTACTGGATGGTCCCTACAAAAGTCAGGGCAGGAGAGTGTGTCCCCAAAGTGTGGGTTGACAGGTAACCAATCTTCGGGAGTAAGCCTGGAGTAGCATAAGGTGGGGCTGGCTTCCAAGCATGTGAATGTCAGCTGACTCCTGGGAAGTGGGCTGGCCCTCTGTGGTGCTGACACAAGGGCTCGCCAGTTCAGCTTCCTCTGCACACCACCACCCCAGCCCGGATAAGCTTGGGGTTGGGCTTGTAACCTCGCGGTTCCTTCTGTTCAGAACCTTGGACAGGGCGGCTTTTTCCCCCTTTTCCCCATTGCCTCAGTTTCCCCATCTGTAAAGAGAAAGCGGTGATCCCTACCCATGCCCCTTAGGCCTGGGTGCACTGGGGGTATTACGTATCGGGACACTTGGTCTCTAGATCTTCTCTTTGGTCCTTTGGGCTTACCACAGCCCTCAGCCTCTCTGGAGCTTGTGTGATGGCGTTTGCCTCCTCAGGAAAGCATGCGGTCCTATGCAGCCAATGTCTACACCACTGTGGTGGCGGAACTGACCCGTGGCCAGCAACGCCGCTTCATTGCTGTGGAGCAAGAATTCTTCCGGCTCTGGTGGGATGGTGTGGCCTCTGAGGAGCAGAAACACCAGGTAAGGCAGGGGCGGGATAGCAGGATATATATGGGTCCCCAGGTACCCCAAGTGTCTGTGAAAGTCCCAGCAGGAGACTAGATAGCGAGTTCCAGATGTGCTCAGGGACATGCCAGCTGTTAAAAAAAAAAAGTGGTCAGGGCCTCTGCCCAGGGACAGGGTGATGTAATCTTTTCTATCTTTTCTTTTTCTGCCTGTTCTTGTGGGGGGAGGGGGAGTCCCCCCACAAGGCAGCACTCCTTCCCCAGAGGCATGGGGGTTAGTGCTGAATCAACACCCAGGTGAACCTTGCCCCCTCCCCTATTGGCACACACTGACTCTCCCCTGCCCCTGCTGTCTGGGTTTGGAATCCTCACGGCTCAGGGGCAGTCAGTGTCACACAATACAGAGAACCTGGGCAGGTTGGTGCCTGGTCCTACCATGGCTTCCTCTTCTATAAAATGAGGTAGCAGGCTCCCGGCTCGGACAGCTCATGCCAAGAAGGAATCTGAGGAAACACCTGGAACAATACTTAGGTGCTCTTAGTTCTCTTCCCTTCCCAGCATTCACCTTTCTTTTTCTTTTCTTTCTTACTTTTTTTTTTTTTTTTTTTTTTGGTGTGAGACAGGGTTTTTCTGTGTATCCCTGAGTGTCCTAAAACTCGCTCTGTAGACCAGGCTGGCCTCAGACTCACAGAGATCCGCCTGCTTCTGTCTCCTGAGTGCTGGGATTAAAGGCATGCACCACCACTGCCCAGCTGCGTTCACTTTCTGAGCAGCCACTGCACGTGAGCTGTGGAGAGCTTAAGTCTCTTGAGGTAGCCAACTAAGCAGGCTTAGCGGGAGTGTGCTAGGTCTTACTGGAGCCAGGCTAAGGGTCCTGTCAAGCCTGTCAAGTCATGGTGCATGACCTCGTGTTTGAGGCCACTTACCTGTACCAGCTATGGGGATTGTCGTATAGACTTACAGAGATGGTCTGGCCACTGTCTCGAGGCTTTGCAGTTTATGAATAAACAGGGATGTCGGACTCTAGAGCCCGCCTCTTCCAGTGGAGTCTGTCTCCAACCCTCTGTGAGGGGCGTGGCTTGGGGTAAAGCTCTAGGTAGGAATCTACTAGTGCAGTTCCCTGGAGGCCAGGATTTTGTCTGCTGTGTTCAGTGCAGAATCTCCAATGGCTGGACAGTTCCTCATATGTAGCAGGTGGTTGGGGGTAAGCCACCTCAGCACACAAGCCAAAAGCGCCATAAGGGCTGCCTGACAGCCCACTGCCCACCCTCACACCCACCAGTTTTCTCTACCTATCCCTGCATTCATTTACCTAACATACATTCGCCAGCAAGACCACACTGAATCCAAGTTGCCAGGCCCCCAAAGAAGACAGGCTGAGGGGCTGTTCCCTGAATTAAAGGATCGGAATGACAGGTGACAGTTTACAGTGATGTATGGCCCCAGGTTGAAGGAGTGTGCCAGGAGAGGAAACTGCTGGGGCACTCTGAGGTTCATGGGAAGCCTGATGATTGTACAGTAGTGTTAGCAATCTGTTTCTGGGTTGGGGTGATAACACCAGGGTTAGCATCATCCTCATTCCTCGGAGGCATGCACAAAAATGCTCAGAGTAAAGCAGGCTGTAGCTAACTCCCCCTAAGTGCTTTAGACAGAATGGAACAAGGATCTAGACATGGAAGTATTTAAGCAAAAGGGTCTAAAAATGTGGCCACTGAGTGGTTCTGGCGAGGAGTATGAGGAAGCACTTTGTTCTGCTCCTGCAGTTTTTGTTTTTGTTTTTTGTTTTTAAGTTTCAAGTTATTTGAAAATTAAAAACACATTCATGGACACAGACATGGATCAAGGTCTCAGCTGCCATGGGCCATGTGCTTCTGAGCATAGAGGACATGGTATGCACCAGGGCAGTGTCCTGATGTTGTGGAGTGAGCAGGATGGGAGTTTCATGAAGGCCCTGAGCAGCGCTTGGGACCTATGACCTGGCTGTCTTCTTCTGCCTGCCTGTGCCCAGGTTCGCCAGCTCCTGGATGAAGGACGCCTGGAGTTCGTTCTCGGAGGCCAGGTCATGCATGATGAGGCTGTGACCCACCTGGATGACCAGATCCTACAGCTCACAGGTTTGGCCACTGTACTCTCACTTTAGTGTGTGTGTGTGTGTGTGTGTGTGTGTGTGTGTGTGTGTGTGTGTGTGTACTCACTTCTTTATCATTTCTGATAACTAGCTGAAAACCAGTTAAACTGTTTACTTGGCCTACGGTTCCTGAGAGTTCAGGCTATAGTCCCTGGCTCTGTTGTTGACTGTGGGCCTTTGGTGAGGCAAAATGGCAGAAGGACCATGTGGATGAGGACAATGTTGATTTTGTGTTGGACAGGAAGGAACCACAGACAAAGTGGACCTGCCCCAGTGACCTACATCCCCCAGTCAGGCCCTACACCCTAAAATTTTCAGTACCTCCCACATGAGGACCAAGCCCCCAGTATATGAATTTATAGGGCAGTGGTTCTCAACCTGTGGGTCTCGACCCCTTTGTGAGTCGCATATCAGATATTTACATTATGACTCATAACAGTAGCAAAATTACAGTTATGAAGTAGCAATGAAATAGTTTAATGGTGGGGGTCACCACAGCATGAGGAACTGTATTAAAGGGTCGCAGCATTAGGAAGGTTGAGAACCACTGCCCTAGGGGATATTTCACATTCAAGCTGTCACACTCGCCCTGCCTGTCTGTCACTCAGAGGCCTGGAGTCGGCAGAAGTGTATGCCTGGCCTCCATGTCCTGAGATCTGCCTGCTCCTCTGAGCAGGGTACTTTGGCAAAGGGAACAGTGATCTTCTAGGTCTACAGGGATTTGAGTAAAGGGGTTAAAAGTCAGGGGTCCAGCGTCAGGTGACCTAGGACCATCATGGCCCCAAGGACCTTGGCCTCGGGAAAGGGATGTATCATGAAACCCCAATTCTCCCTTGAGAAATTAGTTTGAGACGACATTAATACCTGCCTCTTGAGAGAATTAAGTTGGGATAAATACATGCGAAGTACTTAAGTAGAATATCCGATTCCATAGAATGCCCGGTGAATGTTGTCTGCTCCCACCACCACCATTATGACTGCCATCATCACCACTGTTCTTCTTCCATTACTCCAACATCACCACTACCACCACCACCACCACCATCACCATTATTATCTCCATCACTACTACCCTCACCGTTATCACTAGCACCATCACCATCCTCACTACCACCATCACCATTATCACCACCACAATCACCATTATCACCACCACAATCACCATCACCACTGTCATCTCCACCACTATCACCAGTGGCATCCCATCTCCCCCACTACAGTCATACCTGCACACTCTGTCCCTTCTCCCTGCCGTCACCTCCAGCTGCAGTGACACACTTTGCTCACACAGTCCTCATGGAGGCTGAGGATGCCCTGGGATCTTTAGCCTCCTTTTGCACATGTGAAAACTGAGACCCAGGGGACTGGAGAGATAGCTCAGTGGTTAAGAACAGGTGCTGTTCTTGTAGAGGATCTGGGTTCAGTTCCTGGAATCCACATCAGGAAACTCACAACTTTCTGTAACTTCAGCTCCAGGGCATCCAGTGTCCTCTTCTGGTCTCTGCACTCACATCACTTATCCACCTAGATATGCATATTTAAAAAAATAAATCTTAAAAATAGAGTTGTAAAAACTGAGATCCAGTGAGTGAGGTGACTTGGCCAAGGGCCAATAGCCAGGACTAGACTCAGGGCCCGTTGCTGAGCAACAGGTCCCGTGATCTCGGCACTCTGGCTTGGGCCCAGCTTCCCTGGTAAAGCCCAGAGGGGAAACACACTGTAAAGGGTATTGGCACATTTCTTGACTATTTTTGGAAATAAGGGAGGAGACCTTCACTGAGGCCCACCACGCTTACTAACCCACATGTGTTATCAGCTGTCTCCATAATCCATGCTGTTGAAAGATAAACTTAAGCACATGAGAACGGTGGGCCTGATTTGGACAGGCAACCCCCGACTGCAGGCAATCCAGGGAAACACTGACGGGGTGGAAGGGGATGTGGAATGGACTCCTTGGTGGTTCCTGGCTGAGTGAGCTTACTCTTCTTGCTGTTTGCACTGCAGTGGGCTTTGGTTTGCACATGCGTATTCCCCAGGTTGTGGAGAAGTCACCACCTCATGACTTCTCCATAACTAACTGAGCTTGCTCTCTGCTCCTGTCAACTAGAGGATCAAATGTCTAGGGGACGCAGTTAGCAAGCCTTTGACTCAGACTCACTGCATTCTTCACCACAGGCTGGCACTGTGCCCTGACCAGTCAGGGCTCTGCCTGTATGGGAGTGGCTAGGGCGATTACCTGTCCTCAACATGCTGCTGTTGACCATGCAGCCTCTTGCTCCATCCTCTCTGTTTCCTGCACATCCCAGTCTGCCCTGCTGGCAGAATGATGCTCGTCCATGTCCTCTGCCTGACCCTTACCCACTCCACACACCTGACCCATCAGACCACCAGCCTCCTCCATCCCTTTTGCCTTCCTGACCATCCTTGCTCTCTGAGCCTCAACCTTGCCTATGGCTTATTACTCCACTTACTACTCCCGGGCACCACCTGGGTCTCAGTCAGAGTCCCAGGCCTAGAGGGTCACTGGGTCCTTGTACCCCACTCTTGCCATGCAGACGACAAACCCATTGGGTTTTAGGAGGACAGCGCTTGGGGCAAGGTTTGGGGGAGGTAGTCAGTGGTTCATTCCACACGTTGAGTTTCTTTCTCCTGTAGCTCTGAACCCAGCGTCTGTTCCAGTGTGGTGGCTTCTGAATGATGTTTGAGTGGACAAATGGCTGGATGAGTTTGACCCAGAGTGCCTTGCTCTGTAACGAACTACCCCCAAACTTAGTAACATCCGACAGCAAACATCTAGTATGCCCACTTTCTGGATGAGGAGCTCAAGGTCCATTAGAGTTGCCCTCAGGGTGTGGGGCCTGGCAGCATAATCTGAGGCAAGAAGCTCACTCACCTAGTCCTGAGGGAAATGAGCCAGACACATAAGGACCAGTGCTGTGGGGTCCTCTTACAGGGAGCCCCTAATGCCACCAGATCAATAGAGACATGTAGAATGCTGTTGCCGGGGGCTGGGAAGCTGTGATTCAGTGTTGCAAGACTGAAAGTTCTGGAACTGAATGGTGGTGTGTATGGATGTACTTAAGCCTAGGTACTGTTCGTCTAGAGATTGCTGGTGAATTGAATTCAATGTGCTCAATTAAGAGTTAAGATCGAAACCCTGTTCTGCCGTCCTCGTGACCTGCTCAGCCTAGGAACTAACACTGACACAGGGTACCCAGAGAGCCAGGGTGAGAGGCCACCCGGCCAGCCCAGCTAGGTGACCTCTGTCTTTGCAGAAGGACATGGCTTTCTCTATGAAACATTTGGGATCCGGCCACAGTTCTCCTGGCACGTGGACCCCTTTGGTGCATCGGCGACAACCCCGACCCTGTTTGCCCTGGCAGGCTTCAATGCCCATCTCATCTCCCGGATTGACTACGACCTCAAGGATGCCTTGCAGGAAGCCCAGGTGCGTCCCACTCCATACCCGCTGTCACCTCCTTCTGCCTTCCTGCCCCTCACTGGGCTATGTGGTAACTGCCTGACCTGAGCCTGACTCCTGTAGCTGCCTCCAAGAATGGCTTCCTGCCTCCAGGCCTTTCTACCCTTTAGCTGGGCCTGGGCCTGGGCTGGCTCCTTCCCAGGGCTGTCCATGAGGAATGCAGCTGAGCTGTACTCTAGAAATGTGGATGAAGGACTAGAGGGCCAGGCAGAGTGTTCAGCTGGGGACATCACACACACGCAGCCACAGGGCTGACCGTGTGCTAGGAAGGACCAGGCCTGGTGTCAGCTGCATCCAGCCAGCACCTCCATCAGCCCTGAGCCAGCTTGGGAGGTGAGGTGTTAGCTGCACTTGGACCTTGGGCAGCAGACATGTGCCCTCATACCTTAGAGGCTGTAGGTGCTGGGTCAAAGTGCACATGTAGTGGTGGTGAAGGGCAGGTTGCTGTTCCTGAAGGCTGGGGTCGGGGTCTGCCCTTGCCTCTGTCCTTGGCATGCAGGGGGCCATTTTCTCCTCACATCTCCACTGTGGTGTGCTATGTCTATGCCCCCCCCACCCAATACTTTTCTTTTTTCTTTCTTTCTTTCTTTTTTTCTTTTTTTTTTTTTTTTTTGATTTTACTTATGTTCTATTCGTCCCATAAGACCATGTGGCAGCCATTACAAAATGCCACAAACCAGGCTGGATTTTGATAACCTCTTCAAAGACATTGAAAGTAGTGGTAAAATTTGTCTCTTTAACCATTTTTAAGTGTATGATTCAGTGGTGATGAGTACACAACTTGTACAACCATGGCCATCGTTTTTTCCATCTTCCCACACTGAAACTATGCCCATTAAACACCGACTCCCTGTTTCCCGGCTCTGGCACCCCCATCCTACCTCCTGACTGTAGTTGGATTTTTCTTTGGGCTGCCAGCTCCCAAATAACAACACAGAGACTTATTATTAATTATGAAAGCTCAGCCTTAGCTTAGGCTTGCCCCACTAGTTCATAACTCAAATTAGCCCATATTTTATTAATCTACATTCTGCCATGTGGCTTTTGTCTCTTTCCCATTCTATGTGTCCAGCTCATTCCATGGCTCCATGGTGTCTTTTGTGTGCCTAGATTCATCCCCTACTTTTTCTCTTTCTGCCCAGAAGTCCCACCTATACCTCCTGCCTAGCTATTGGCCATTCACCTCTTTAGTAAACCAATCACAGCAATATATCTTCATTGTACATTTCCCCTCCCCTTTTTTTTGTCTAAATAAAAAGGAAAGGCTTTAACTCTAACATAGTAAAACTATATACAATAAGAACAATTATCAGGCCAGCCTGGTCTACAGAGTGAGTTCCAAGAAAGGCTCCAAAGCTACACAAGAAACCCTGTCTCAAAAAACTAAAGAAAAAAGAACAGTTATCAGGGAGGAATTACATTTACAATGTCCAGTCCATTAGTATCAGCAAATTCAAAGAAAATACTACATTATCTATCCTATCTTGATGAGACCAAAGTTTTGTACCTGATTTACTTTCTATCCTAACTTGTATTACCAACCCAAAACTATCTTTTTAGGTCTCAAATCATTTTCTTAGATAAGCAACTTAAGCTTTTATGTCTCTCAACCCTATATATTTTACACCTCTTTTGTGAATTTCTTTTCTGAATTTGGTAACAAAGAAAACTGTAACTATAACTATCTAGTCTTCTGCCCCATCAAAGATCTGAGAAGGATATAATATTATCTGAGTAAACAGAAAGTGTAGAACAAGCAACTTCCAAAACTATGGAAATGACAAAGACATCTGGCTGCCTGGACAGTGACCCAAAGTTCCTCTGCAATGTTGGAGCATCCATCTTCAGCCTATAGTCCTAGAATATCTGACAGACTTTTTTTGTGAAGCAGGAATTTTGAAGGTCTGTCCTATTTTGTCTTGGCACAGTTTGGCAGTCCTTTTTTTGTGTGTCCTGCTTGTCCAATTTGGACAGCATCCTGTCAGCAATCGAGGCAAGGGCAGTTTCTTGCCCAAATGGCCAGCTTTGCCAGCAAACTCCATATGGAGGTTCTTTGATGCCCATCATCCTCTTTTGAAGTAAATTGTTGCTGCCAGGAGCAGACATGTCTCACTGTCTTGAAAAGCCTTATGTTATTAAGACATTTTAAATGCCATATTCTGTAGGTCTTTGAAGTGTTGAAGACCATCTATCTATTTAAAATAGAATGTCTATCTTGACATTCAAAACATACCTAACATGACTACAAGTTTGATTGTTATAGATGACTACTATTTCTTTATTATCCTAACCTGTATTTCTTTATTATCCTAAATAGCTTTAAGGACTAGAAATTTACATTACATTTTAAAATGAGCTGCACAGGTACAATACTTTAAACAAGAGTGGGAACATATATACAGTGTAACAAAAATAACCTTAAATTTGTATCAATATTCAAAAATCCATACCAAT